CAAATGAGGTGCGAGCCTCACACAGAAAAGTGCCTAGTGTTGTCGAAAATAAAGTGGAGCCCTCAGGATTCGATTGAGAGATGAGCCCAAGAGTCCTTCAGGGTCTGAAATGCCCGTGCCCAGGCAGGAGGTGCGGGGGCGGCCTTGAACAAGATCTGGAGGTCTTCACAGGGTGAGACATGATCAAACCCGATCAGGGCATAAGTAAAAACACACACGGTCCCATAAAGTGGCCTGGGAAGGATGCCACATTAATAAAAGGGAAAAATGCAGAGGAATGTGTGAGGAGGGAGCTGTTAAGAAAACGCAAGTGCCTATAAACTCTGCTCTGCAAATGCCCCCACCCCAGCCACACCATGGCTCCAACTTGTTTTTCATTAGCCCTCAAGAAAGGCCTTAAAGAAACCAGCCTATTCGTGGAGGCTGCAGAGCATGGAGCTGGACACCCAGCCACTTCCCTTCCACGTGTCTCTGGGTCTCACTGCCCTTGAGTAATAACGTTCCTCCGGGAATGTCTTACTCGTACTGTGGCCTTGGCAGGCCAGGATGCTTGGTACAAGGGAGAAAGTTAGAGTGAATCCAGGTGAAATGAGGACTATTGTTTCCACTCTGGTGCATTCTGAAACGCTACTTACATAATAGGACTCACACCCTTCATATCCCCAAATTGGCATTGGGACCAGCCAGTCTGCTGGCAGTTGGCCAAAGCCTTATCACATTTCCAGGACCCAATGAAACAGGAAATGGGCTCAAACTATCATCAGAGAGTTAGCTCTCAGGTGGGACTTCCTGATAGTCAATAATCAGAAGTGCAAGCACCAGGGCCCGGTGGTGCAGCAGTTGAATGTGCACGTTCCGCTTCGGTAGCCTGGGGTTTGCCGGTTCGGATCCCGGGTGCGGACATGGCACCGCTTGGCAAGCCATGCTGTGGCAGGCATCCCACATACAAAATAGAGGAAGATGGGCATGGATGTTAGCTCAGGTCAGTCTTCCTCAGCAAAAAAAAGAGGAGGATTGGCAGCAGATGTTAGCTCAGGGCTAATCTTCCTCAAAATAAATACATAAATGAAGATTGAAATTAAAAAAAAAAAAGAAAAGAAATGCAAGCACCAAAAAGAGTTCAGAAGGGAAGGAGGAGACCTGGGCTGTACCGTGGAGGAGCTCCTGGTTTACGGAGTACGGGGGGAGACACTGCCATGAGCATGAAGGCAAACTGAGAGAAAAACCTACAAAGGTAAGCACATTGGCAAAAATGATCAAGTAAGCCCTTAGCATTTAGGAAGCTGGAAAGACAGGAACGCGGGAAGGAAGGGACTAGCTAGCATCTCATGGTGTCACTCACTGCAGTCTTGAGGAGAAGAGGAATCTGGCAGCTGAGATCTGAAGCCAAGAGAAGCGTGGGATTGAGGTGGAAATGCCCCGGGGAGGGGCCCCTGGAGCTTTGGTGGCAGCATTTGCGGTGCTTGGTAATGGCGGAGGACAGCTGAGCTCAGGAGACTGGGCTAGGACACGCCTTGCTGGAGTGGAGAGTTCAAACTAGTGCAAGTGGTTTGTGCAAGTCGTTTGACCGTAGGGAGGACAGTTGTGAGATTCCATTGGAGTGACTAAATCCTGAAAAATGTAACCTAGGAGGCCATAAAGTCACTCAAAGATCCCTGAAAACTGAGCTGTATTCCTGCCTCTGTGCCTGGAAGCAGAAACCTAGGTGCACTTGGTCGTTGGGGTCCCTCCCAGCCTAGGAAGTTTGGCTCCTCGCTCTGAGATGATGGTGAAACGTTTGCGCTCCACCCCGACTTCTGCAGGTTGTGGTCACAGGCAGAGCTGTGCTGATTGTCTTTGCTCTGTGCAAAAGGAATCTGTGCCGGCACCCAAGGATCAGGAAGCAGCTGAGATGCCTCCAGTTAATACTGCAACCCGAATACCTCCTAAAAGGAGGCTCAGCCGGGAGACCTGACAGAATCCGCATTGTTCAGCCAGACAGCTGGGAGCAGCTGCAGGGTCCCTGGGTCTCCCTGAGCATAGGGATTGTGAATAGTCTTCAGCCCGGGCTTACAGACATCCTGTGAGATCAGTGAAGAGCCAGCATGTCTGGTGTGGGCAATAATCACTGGCCAGTGAGAATCAAGGACAGAGGACTTCAGGAGCTCATATTCTTACCTAAAAGAGGTTCCAATGACATGTTGTGGAAGGCTGGGAAAAGGAGCCAAGAATGCAGGGAACTGTCGGGGTGGAGTTGGGGCACAGGGTCTTCCTATCATCTTTGGAGCAGCTGCCTAAGTGCCACCCACTCCCAGCCCAAGCTCCAGATGGCATTAACAGTGCAACAGGCCAAGTCATTGTCCCGAGGACTTGGGAAATTGTTCCTCCCCGAGAGGGAGCCCAACCAGGAATTCAATCACAGAATCACATAATTTTAGAGCTAGAGCTGACCTCAAAGATCATCCAATTTATTACTTTCACTTTAAAGTGCTTAGGAAAGTGAGACAACCTATTCAAAGGCACTGCCTCATTAGTGTCCAAGCCAGAACTTAAAGCTCGAGTCTCTTGACTTGAAGGCCAGTGGTCAGTCTCTTGCTGCTCTGGAGGAAGCCACTCAACCCAGCTCCCCAGAAGCTGGCAGGGGTGAAGACTAAGGTGAAAGGGGCAGAAATTGGGCAATACACTGTGTACATTTCAACATAAAGTGATCAATGTACAGATGAGATGCACAGCTAGAGGCAAATGAACATTAAGGATTTGAGGGAGTGAGCAGTGGTGGAAAGAGTAGGGAGCTATGAGTCAGTAGACCTTGGTCAAGGTTCCAATTCTACCACTCATTCACTACGTAACCAGGAAAACTTTACTTAATCTTTCTGAGCCACAGTTTATTCATCTGTTAAGTGGGGCTAAAGATACTATAGAATTCTTGTGAGAAATAGCATATGTAAAAATACTTCGCATACAGAAATGGACAAATATTAGTTGTTACTACAATTGTTGGGATTATCAAGGGCGAGGCTATTGAGTTTGGAGGCTGGAATGGTAATGGAGGGATTCTCCTGGTTCTCTGAGCTTCTCAGTAGAAGAGGGAAATCCAATAATTGACGAGAGTTTCTACTTCGTCTTAGACGTGTTCTTAGGTAGCTCACTTAGGTAGGGCACAATCCAAGGCCCAGTGGAAGTTCAGCCGCTCAGTGAGGAGCCTTCAGGATGAGGATTCCCAGTCTTCGTTTTCTGCCCCAAGAGTCCCGGACTTCCCCGAGAGTGCGCCTCTTGCAAGAAGGAATGAAGCCTGATACTTCTCAACCTGAACAGGATCCCTCTCAGCTGTCTGGTGGGGAAGAGTGGAGTCAAGAGGAGAGGAGAGGAAAGGGGGCTGCCAGCCATGAGGCCCACATGTTTCAGCCGAAGCCACTTGAAGCCACGTGGACAGAGGGACCCACAGCATCCTCTCTAGCAGGTCTGATGATCACTGTCCTCCTGACTTTTGGTGCCAGCCTTGGGTGGGAAGTTGTGGCTCAGGCATTAAACTAGGGGGGCTGCATGGAGTACCAAGAAGTAGAAGGGTTTGGAGAAGGGAGGGTCCTATTGTGTTGCAGCCCAGAGCAGCAGCTTTTCATAGGTAACAACCCTGCTGTGCAGGCTGAGGTCATTCCTGGCACCAGCTCCCCACTCACTGCAGACGCCTGCAGGTCTGTTTTAATATCTTCAGCAACCACATTCCTAAGCAGGGTGGGTAAGAGGCTTTCTGGACAAGACTGCTTTCCATCAGAAATTATTCCAATTCGCTAGGGTCAGATATTTCAGAGAGAGCTGGATTGTTTTTTCTTTTTAAAGAAGAAAATAAAAATTCAGAAGGAATGACTAAATGCAGAAACCAGGAGCACAGCAAGGTCCTGAGGACTAGAGAAGGGAGCAGGAGCCATAAACGAGGGAGAAAAGATATAGGGGGCTGGGAAAGCATCTCCTTTTGGGTGGGGGCTAGCCCAGCCAGGCTGTTCTTAGATCCTGATGAGTTTACCTACTACTATCATTCATTCAATCATTCACTCAACCCACACTTGACTTCCACTCTATGCCAAGTGCTGTGCTAGGAATACAAAGAAGTTGTATTACTTATCTATTTCTGTGTAACAAATTACTGTCAAACTTACTAGCTTAAAACAACACATGTTTATTATCTCACAGTTTCTGTGGGCCAGGAGTCTGGGCACAGATTAGCCAGGCCCTCTGCTTCAGGGACTCTCACCAAGCTGTAATCAAGGCTGTGGCCAGGGCTGTCGTCTCATCTGAAGTCTTAGTTGGGGAAGGATTTAATTCCAAGCTCACACAGTAGTTGGCAGAATTCAGTCCCTCAAAGGCTGTTGGACTGAATGCCTCAGTTCCCAGATGGCTGTTAGCCAGAGGCTGCCCTCAATTCCTTGCCACATGGGCCTCTCCTCTGTGTCAGCTTGCTTCATCAAAGCATGCAAGCAGAGAGGCAACAAGAGAGTCTGCTAGTGAGTCAGAAGTCACAATTTGATGTGACCTACTGATAGAATGACATCTCATCGCCTTTGCCGTATTCTATTGGTTAGAAGCAGTCACAGATCCCACCCACACTCCAGGGGAGGGGATTACACGGGCCTGTGAAGACCAGGATGCAGGATGGTCAGGGACCATCTTAGAGTCTGCCTGACACAGAAGTCGCATTGCTTCCTGCCCTCAGGTAACTCAGAGTCAACAATGATGACAGTTATAATAATAATAATGGCGAATGCAATGTACTGAATGCTTACAGTGTGCCAGAAACTGTGCTAGAGTCTTTTATATACATTTGCTTTTAATCTCTGTTAGATAGGGTACAACGGTTATCTCCTTTTTTTTTTTTTTAAAGATTTGTTATTATTTTTTTTCCTTTTTCTCCCCAAAGCCCCCGGGTACATAGTTGTATATTCTTCGTTGTGGGTCCTCCTAGATGTGGAATGTGGGATGCCGCCTCAGCGTGGTTTGATGAGCGGTGCCATGTCCGTGCCCTGGATGCGAACCAACGAAACACTGGGCCGCCTGCAGCGGAGCGTGCGAACTTAACCACTCGGCCACAGGGCCAGCCCACCGTTATCTTCTTTTGAGGTGAGAGAATAGTCTCAGAGAGATCATAGTAGTGAGAGATCTAGGAGTTTTTGAACTCTAATTTTTCAGACTTCAAAGGCTTTGCTCTTACCCCCTTGGTTATATGCCTCCCAGAAAAATTGCAATAGAACATGGAAAGTGCTCTAACGGCCCCTCTGTTTGGGGGTGCTGGGGAAGGCAGGCCAGAGGTGGTGACATGGAAGGAGCACTGTACATAACAGCGGCAGGACCCTAGAGGGAGTCCAGGGAACAGAAGAGACACACTCCTTTGCTCTTGAGGAGCCCTTGAGGCTCAAGTGGGGAACCAGACCCAAGAAGCAGTCTCAGGGCCCTTGCAAGGAATGGCAGCAAGTGCAGACTGAACAGCTGTTTCAAAGAGCTCTAAAGAGATGTGGAAGCCAGTGGCTGTTTAGATTAGTTTTCTAATTGGCTGAGTGTTAGCAAAGCCTCTTGTGTATACAATGAGAATAGTTAATCTTGTCTATTTGTATATCCACTCATGTTCTGTCACTGCCCGATCTTCTCAGCTGTTTGCCTCTTACTGTCGGTTTTAGGCCAAGAGAGGGTTTAAGTCTATGGGACTCTTCCTATGTGGCCCCCAGCACAGGTGGGCAGCAGGAGGAAAGCAATGAAGAGGAAGATGATCCCAACACTCCCCGATGCCCACCCTCATCACTGCCCGCCTGTCTTGCCATAACAGCCCCCTCCCACTCCCAGTTAGTCTCCCTTCCTGCCGCCACCATCTCCCTCACACACTCATTCCAGTCATTGGAACCCGTACATTCGCAGGAAGTGGCCTCACAGAGTCACCGCACAGCTTCATAACAAACCTGGAAGTTAGGCTTTATTATGCCAAATGGGAAGCTCCCCAGAGAGGTTAGGTAACTTGCCTCCCACACAGCTAGCAAGTGTCTGAGCCGAGATTTGGACTCAGAGCCCTTCAGTTCTTGCCCCCCGACCAATGAACCGCCGCAATTCTATTATGGGCTTCTGCAGCAATGAGGCCAGAAGCCCTGACTCCCTGAAACATCCCAAATTTGGTGGTTCCCTCTCAAATCAGATTGTAGTCACCTTTAGATCAGAGACCAAGATATGAACTTCTCCCACAGTTCTCCAAGTGCAGGCACAAAGTAAACATTTATGCTTGATTGACAATGAAAGAGGGAAAGATGACAACAAGGTTGGGAGGACATCTAAGGATATAAAGGTCCTCTTTCAGATGCAGAAATGACCCCTCTGACAGAGGTGGCTTCTTCCTATGTCAAGATTCACTCACCTCTCCGTGTCTCTCTCAGCTGCTTCTTTCCCTGGAAACTTATCTTTGGCTTCTAGGTGTCTGTTAACGATTTTCTTTCCTTCATGACCTAAGTGTGGTCAAAATTGCTCCTTGTAATCGCTCCAAGTTCAGCCAGTCAGACATGCACTTAAACACATACACTTTGTGGGGGAGGGGCGAGGGAGGAGAACCTCTTTATACAGGGTGATGCTCACAACAGACCTGGGAAGAGATGGCAAGGAGAAGGTCTCCTTTTCGATGACATTCAACAAATGGGACTGATGTGGCCAGATTTGTTTTTTTTGGGATTGTCTTTCAGAGAATTATAAAGAGATGACTATATGAATGAGATAGACAGGAGGTTAGTGACGTGTTGGTTTCCTCAGTCTCTACCAATCTCATATATAACCATAGCCACTATTGATTAAGCACTTTCTATGAGCCAGACACTTTACTAAATGCTCTACAAAAATGATCATGGTTAGTCTTCAAAACAGTCCTGTAAAGGAGCGTTAGTATTATCCCTGTTGGAAACTGAGGCTCCCGGAGGCTAGGTAGACCGTTCAAAATCACACAGTAAGTATAAGAGCCCTGATTTGAACCCAGGCTGCCTGACCCCAAAACCTTTGCCCTTAATCTCTTATGCCTGAGAGAGACTGATGACTGAGAGGGACTCAGTGAAAACGCCTGTTCTTCCACTCAGGCTGGGACTTGTGGTAGAACGAGAAAGAAGAGAAGCCTGGGGTTGAATCCTCTTTTTCCAGGGAGGCACCCGGGGTCTGGGCTCCTTCCCGCCTAGCACAGCCTCCGCTCTGCAGCTTTGCAGAAGTGGGCAGCTGGCAGAAGAGTTGCATTTTTTAGGCCCCAGGCTGCCTTCTTATCTCAGGGAGACTTGATTTACGTTCCTCTATCTTATCTCAGCCCAGGGCCCTGGTGATGGATTTCACCTTCGGCATTTGGAGCCTTGCTCCTTGCCAAGAGCACTCCCCCGTAGACAGACTGAGAAGGAGACAGCTCTGGGCGCCCCGTTCTTGGATCAGCCCTTTACCTCCTGCCTCCCCCAGCTCAGGTGGAGAGAGGAGGACGCTGCTCTTTCTGATTGGCAAGGGGGAGATAGCACTCCATGACTTAGCAAGGATAAAACTGCCTTTCCCCAGGTTTGGCCCGGGCCTGCCTGCGCTTGAGAGGTGTGAGGGGAACAGGAAGAGAAAAGAACAGTAGTAGCCTCAGTGTAGTATTTGCCTCTTTGTTATGATCGTTCATATGTTTTTTCAAATTAATCTTCACAACAACTAAATGAAACAGCTTTTGTATTTAGTTTTTACAGGGAAGGAAACTGAGGCTCAGTGGGGCTGGGATCACACAGACCATAAGTGAAGAGTTGCGTGTCTGGTATGTGTCTTCTGACATTAAATCCTGTGCATCTTTCATGACACATCAAGGAGGAGAGAGTTTTTTCTTTTTGGGAATACATCTCCCCCACGCCTTCCTTTCGTTTTCCTTCTTCAGACTGAAGGAGTGGCAGCTGCGATCAGGGCAGCCTACTCTTCTGCAATGGTGGACTCAAAGCGAGGAAGCATGGCCAGCAGAAGGAGTGTCGTGTTGAGCCAAGATCTGAGGGTCCAAGTTAGGTCGAGTTGAGGTGGGAAGTCACACTTAGAAGGGAGAAGGGGGGAATTCAACCTCCTTCTCATTCCTGGAAGGGAATCCAAAGTGAAACAGTTTCTCAACAAACAAGCATTGAAACCCTTCAGGGGTGACACTCAGAGGACCAGAACTCGAGAGAAAGGAAGGCAAGTGGCGTTTATTGAGGCTCCCTGTACGCCAGGCACCGAGTTAGGGAATTTAGTTATTTTATTCAATTAGTGCAATAGTCTTATAAGGTGGGTTTCAGGATTCTCAGTTCAGAAGAAACTGAGGCTCAGAAAGATTAGATAATTTGCTTATGGTCTTGTAGCTGGTAAGTTGTAGACCTCTCATTTAAATCCAGGTTACCTGGCCCTAATGTCTGTTAGTAAACTAGAAACCTCTCTTCCACATGTGTCCTGGAGTGTGGGGAGGTGAGAAGTCTTGCCTCCAGACCCCAGCACAACATCTCACAGATGGCAGCTTAACCTGGTAACCTTCGCTTCCTAACCCGCCCTGCACATATCCTGAAGATTCGGGGTGGGGGGGAAACAGGGACAGTTGGCAGGGGGGGTTCAGGGTACCTGCAGAAAGAACTCCAGAAGCTCCCTTGCTGGCTGCGTGTAAATCTTCAAGGATGGGCACTATGCCTTGTTCATCTTTGTGTTCCTGGTGCTTAATACTGCGCCTGGCAAATAGTAGGGGCTCAATAGATGTAGGCTACTGACTTGAACAAGGGAAACTTTAAGATTTAGTTATGAGGTTCAAAACCATAGATGCTACATTTGCAGCCTGGCCAAAAGTACACAAACTCATTGAGCAGAACCCAGGGAAAACTAATGAAGGGACAGGCTCTTAAAGGGAAAAGGAATTGGGTGATTAGGCAGATGGCTTGGAGGTAGCTGTGACAGAAAGTGCATCTTTGCTGGGGTTAAAGAAACCTGGGTTCTAGTCTCAGCTTTGTTACTCACCAGCTGAGGGATCTTGGGCAAGTTGCTTCCTCTGTGAGCCTCAGTTTATTCATTTGTAAAGTGAAGGACTGGACCGACAATCCAAGGTCCCTTTCACCTCTGACATACTGTGAGTTTTGAATCCTTAACCCCTCCTCCCAAAACAGGTTCCTGGGGCGGGGAGATAAAAAAGCTTGTCTTGTAAAACAGCAGAAAGTTTCACCTCCAACCTGGATGAGTTGGGCCATCCTATCTGAAAGCTGAAAATGGATTAGATGGCATTAGCCAGATCTTTTCAAGTCTGGGGGAATGGGTGATTTTAAAGTGGGTATGGCCCCCATTCCTAACCCTCATCTCTGTAGACAATTTGACTCAGCCTTCAGAGGCACCAGAAAAGCTGCAGCATGCAGAGGTGGCTCATCCCAGAGGAGGAACAGAGCAGAGAAGCCACCACTTTTGTGGCTGATTCTCTGCTCCCTAGTGTGCTGGCCATCTCCCACCCAGGCTTAATTTGCACTGCTAATCTGTTATGTCTTTCTTGGTAATTTAGCACTTTCAGACAGTTATGGTTAGATTCTGTTTATTTTTCTAAACCTCACAAAAGCCCCATAATATAGCAAGGGAGTGAGTGGAGAAGGAGAGGGGGAGTGGGGAGTTTTTCTAGAAATATAAACTCAAGGTTGAAATGCTCTTCCCCATCTGCAGGACAGCTGTTGTGGCGCCCTGGCCATCCCAAAAGCTCCAGCATTCCATTTCAAGGATCTCTTGCTGGCTTCCCTCCTACCATCATTCCTCTGAGAGAACGTGGCCTTGAGAACAAGGAGTGGAGAGCTGCCAGCTACTGCCACCTGACACAGAGCCTCATTGCCCTTGCCTGTCTCCTTCCCCTGTCCATCTTCAGTGTAGGGTCAAGAAGTGGGCCACTCCTTCCTTTTATCCGAGGTAAGAGCAGGGGAAGTGAGGACTGGAAAAAGAGATGTCTCCCTTACATAGTTGGGTAAGAGGAAACTTGGGGTCCTAGTGGACCAGCCCTAACCTAACCTAACCTAACCCTCACCTGGGGCCCCAGGTGGACTTCTTGTTTTCTCCCCCCAGAGGTTGCCACGTGTCTAATTGCCCATCAAGCTAGAGTGGTGGAGGGAAATTGGTATCAAAGAGTTTTTGCTGAATGCTTGAATGGACGACGGCTTAGAGAACTGACTGAAGTTTGAGCGGGAAACAGGAAGACAAGGCCAACGTCATTTAGCCCACCAAATACCCTCATGCCCTTTGGGAAGAAGAAAGATGAATATGGAAGAAGCAGAAAAGGATGAGTTTAAATTGAGGCATAAAGAACATAGAACTAAATAAGTAAGACCTCAAAAGTCCCTTAGTCATCATCTAATCCAGACCTTTATTTTTTTAGCAGAGGGCATCAAACCCCCAAGGGGATCGTGACCTTAGTGACCTCCTTAAGATCACAGGGCCAGAGTGAGGCCTTGGGTCTCTTGACTATTTTGATCTCAACGAGATGTTGGTCTCCTCTTCTCCACATTCACCTCAAACTCATTTATTCCAGAAAACTACCTTACCTAACCCAGGGGTCCAGTTAGCACCAAAGTGATCTAAACTAACCTTGAGTTTACTGTCCTTGGGTCCATTTTGGCAATTGCCTCGTGGCCTCAAGACTACCCCCACTTAGAAAGAATGGGTGAGGGTAGCCAAAGCCAAATGTACAGGGCCAGTTTTACCCCAGGCTGGCCCAGGAGAGGTTTGGCTTGGGTTATTACCAAGGTGCGAGGTCTCACCTCCTAGGAGTTTGTTCCAGGGGTCTGCAGTCATCGGAATACGCAGTCTTGAGCAGAGGTGTCTAGACCTTGTCGAATGATCAGAGACCGGGACGTGAACACACATTTTACCCCTTTATAATGACTTGGGTGTGCCAAACAGGACCCATCACCCCCAAGTCCTAGCCTAGGATTTTCTAACCAAGTATATAGTTAGAGGAAAATGTAATCCACGTGTATCTGACTCACTCATCCCTAAATTATCCTAAAGTTCCATTCTGGGAATGGTTTGATATGTACTCTGCTTTTTTTCATCTTTTGGAATCTTGAATTGGCCAAGACAAAATAAAAAGCCATCCTGAGAGATGGAAGGACTCTTCAAGTAGAGGCATGACCTGTAGGCTCCTCCCCAAGGCCTCCTGGGACAGGAAGCCCAGCAGGGCAGGGAGCATGCCAGAACCCAGAAACATACCTTTATTAGTCATCTCCCAGCTCCCCTTCTGCTTGTACTTCTGCGATGCTGTGCCCTACTGAGGAAAATCACCCAGTGCGGAAGATGGTGTCACTACAGATTTATGGCATCTGGACTCTGTTGCACCCCCAAGAGTACGGAGAGATCCCATCAGGTGAGTCTCCAAGGACATTCCAGACCTTCACCACGCTTCTCAACACCCCAAATCCTTTTCTCAATGATTTTCTCTTTTGCAGAGAAAAGTGAGTCCATCAAGAAAGAATTTTCTCCCCTTCCTGTCACGCTCTACAAACCTATCTGCCTCAGCACCCTCCTGCTCAATTAGGGCCATTTCTGAAGGGCCAGCCCAGCTTCAGAGCTCCCTGTGGTCCCAGTTGCATCATTCTTCAACTCCCCTCTCCGCCGTTTCCGCTTCCTTTGCCCCCTCACTCAGTAGGTGTTCTTCCCAAGACCACCCCCCAGTAATTCTCCTACGTGAAAATCACACGGTCTGTTTCTTGGCGAACCCAACTAAGATGAGAAAGAGTGTTTCAGGCAGTGGGAACATGCAATGGCGTCCAATTTCTTCCTGTGTCCTCTGGGACCTTGTTCCATGATCCCCTCTTTTTTGCTGAATCTTCAAACTCCACCTCTCCTTAGCGTATATACTTATTCAAGTCTTTCCCACATTAAAACACAAAAATTAAACCTTCCTTTCACCCGAAGCCCCTCTCCAGCTGTTACCCCATACATATTCCCTTTTGGTCAAGCTTCTCAAGAAAGTAGATGGTCATTACTCCCTTCATCTCACATTTACTCCTCAACTCATTGTGGTCGGCATCCACTGTCAACAATGAAAGACTCTTTGAAGTCACCAGCAGTAGGTGCTTTTCAGTCTTCGTTGCTTGACTTGTCAGCCATATTTGATGCCATTGACCTTCCTCTCAATCTCCACTTCCTTTGCTCCTTTGGTTTGTGTTCTTTTCTGAATCTCTTTCTACTACTTAGGAGATCTGTTTAGTCTCTGTTGTGTCCCCCTCACCCCCTGTCCCACTACATCCATAAATGTTGGTTGGGATTTCCCGTATCTCTCCATGGCTGTCTGTGCCTTCTTCTCTTCTCACTCTACACACTCCCCACTCCCGATAAGCTACTCCCTCAAGCTCCTGACCTGAATCTGCACTTCTAGCCAAGGTCTCTCTTCTGAACTCCATCTTAAGTTCTATGAGATAAAACAGGACTCATTAGCAGGACTCTGTCTACCCTTGAATCTGCTCACCTTTCTGAACACCCCCATCTTGGGGAAGGATGTCAACGTTTCCCTAGGGCCTCTGCCTTATCCCTGGCATTCAATCAGTCACCAAGTCCTGCCAACTTGACCGCTTAAGCATCCATCCTCTCTGCTCTGGCTCCATTCCTACTGCCTTGGTCCAGGCTCTCACTTCTTGATGGCTATTGCTATGGTCTCCTAATGGTTTCCTTTCAGCCACTCTTGACCATGCCCAATCCATACTATACATAGAAGCAAGAGTGATATTTCTATAAAACAAATCTTGTGCATCATTCCTTTACTTAAAATTCTTCAGAAGCTTCTCATCACTCTCAGGATAAAATCTAAATTCTTCAGTATAACATAAAAAATCCTGTATGATCTAGTTCCTGTCTGTCAGTGCAGCCTCATTTCTCCTTCCCGTTCCCCCTCTCCATGCTACGGCAACACTGAAATTCATTGTTCTAACTCCCACAACACAGTAGATTTTCTCTTTAAGTCTAAACTTCTTGAGAGCAGTGTTCATATCTTTTCATCTCTGGATCTTCTATACAAAGTACAGGGCCTGGCATAGAGCAGGCACTCAATACATGTTTAATTAGCACTAACGCCTAGCTTTTATTGAACACTTTCGGTAAGGCCAGGCAACGTGCTAAGCACTTTAACATACATTGTGTCAGTTAGTTCACACAACTACAATTACTGTTAGGTAGGTGTCATTATCCCTATTTTAAAGATGAGAAAACTGAGACATAGAGAGGTTAGGTAGCTCTCCCAAGCTGGTAAGTGGCTCAGAAGAGACGTGAACCATACTCTTAATTAAGCACGAGTGTGAGCTGCTATGCCATTCATGCTGATGAAAGTTCAGTGTAGGGATTCTGGGTGCAGCTCTTGGGAGCTGCCTTACGCACTGTCTGTCTGACACCAGTCCATCCAGTGCTTGCACGGGCCTCTACCTATTAACTTGGGCCTTGAGGCTTGCACTCGGTGAACAAGATTTCAGCATTCCCAGTTCAGCCAGTCTTTGCTCCCATATCAAAATCCTTTGCCACTGCTACAGTTCTACCGTGCTGCCCAGACTCTTCCAGATCTGGCACCTGGTCTCCTGGCTTCTGGCTGAGAGCTCTGCCTCCTGACCATGCAGACCTACAGCCAGTAACACTCAACAATGCTTGGTTTCTCAGGCTTGTCTGGCCAGTAGGTCTGTCTTGGTGTGCACCCCAGTCCACATCCCCAGCTCTGATCTGATTGCTTCCCATGTAGACCAGCACTCTTAGCATGCTGGGCCCCAGCCAGCGCCGTCCTTGCCTTGCTGTCAGTCACTCTGCCTGAGCTGAGACCTTGCTCCCTGCTCCCACTGCCAGCAGCTCAGGGACCAGACAGCAGGAGAAGCGGAGAGGTGAGGGACCACTTAGAAAGGCCTGTGACTGCCAGTCAGGGGCGTGCTGAGACTGTGGGGACGGGTGGGGCTGCATCTACAGGTCTTCATCCCCACACCTGCAGTTGGAGAGCTCACAGCTGAACTCTGGAGCCACCGGCCCACTAGCTATGCTTCCTTCTCAGTCACTGTTTGTTTCTCAGTATGGCAAAGTTACAATGCAAGTACAGTGACGTGTTCTTGACTAACAGGACTGATACTTTGTGACCAGCTTTTATTGTGATGTTAATGATAATTTGTACCTGGCTCTAATTATTATATTAACAATATGCAGTCCTTGATGAGTAAGAGTTGCACTTCAGAAATAAGGCCAGATTGATCTGAGCAGTGAAACTATTTTAAATGATAAAGCTTCAATTTTGTAAGTCATTTTTATTATAAAGCACTTTCATACATATCATCTCGTTTCAACTGGGTTAAAATAGTTTTTTTAATACAACAAAGGGGAATAGGGCTCAGATTTAAAATCGCGTCCTATTCGTCCATCACTGTTGAAGGCAACAGCACTAATCCCAGAGACTTAATATACAACATTTGAGTAATCTTTCCAGCAACCACAAAAGATGGGAATTATCCCCATTTTAGAGACAGGAGAAGTTAGGTAAATTGCCCACTGTCCCACAGCTAATAACAGAAAAGCCAGGAGCTGAAATCAGGTCTGCCGGATGCTAACGCTTACGTGCTCCTGCTGGGCCCCTCTGCCCACCGCCGGGCCTTGTTGCAGGCTGTGCACGGTTCCAGTGGTCTCCCGCTGTACTCTGGGCTCCAGCGCAGGATTAAACGTCACCACCTCCCCACCAGGGTGTCGTGAGCTTTTGTGTCTTAAACACAACTTCCTGGTGTTAACCTCCAGTCCCTCTGTTGGGATGCTGGCCCTAGATGACTGACATTCCCATCTGACTTACTGTCGAGGAGGTACCTGGCACTCAGCTGTGAGCTGGATGTCACAGGAAGCCACCGTTCCCAAGGAAAAGGGAAGGCAGCTCCTGGGAAGCTCCGAAGTGGAGGCAAAGGCCATCATGACAACGTGGTGAGCAGGCGCTTCCTCCATTTGCCCAGGACTTGCTGAGAACATCATTCCAGAAGTAGGCAGGTGACTTTACTATCTAATTGTCATCTCTTGAGATTCTGCCATCTGGAGGGTGCTTGTCCCCTTTAAACTATCCTGCCCACGGAAGGCCACCACTAGTGAAAATAATCCACAGAGCTGGCAGGGCAAGGGGCCTTTGTGAGGAAGTGAAAGAGTTCTGATCCTGCCTCTATCAGGCCCGTTCTTAAGGTCTCAGGCAAGTCTCCTTCTCTCCAGGGCTTCCGTTTGTTAACAGTTACTAGATCCTCCTGAAGGTCCCCTTGTTTCTCATGTTCCAGTGGTCCCTCGGGGCTGACCTCAGCGGTTTTAGGAAGACACCTTCCCTCCTGCTCAGGCTCATGGACCTAGAGTCTGGGTCTCCACACGTCTGAGATCCCGGATTGTCCCGACACCCTGACAGAAGGTGGCAGTCTCAGATACCATGTTGAGTGTAGCCTGGATGTTTGCGGCTGGGGCCCGGCGGGGCCTCCATGGATGGCAGGGAGCACGAGTGAGTGTATATGAGTGAGTGTGTGTGGAAGCGTGCAGTGTGTGAGTGTTTATTTATTCTAGGAGCAGTTGCTAGGTCGGGGGTGTTTGCCAGCAGAGAGCTGCCTGAGTGCCGTGTTTGTTTACTTAGCAGAGTGCAGGGAAGGACAAGGAGAGAGACAAGTGCAGGCTACATGGGCTTAGAGTGGGTTCTTGGGGCCACTTTGAATGGTCCCATTCCACGGATGCTGCTGGGTCCAGAGGGCCCCCTTCGGGGACTCAGGCTCTGCTCTGCCTTCTCTACCAGCAGCTCTATTCCTGACCCCACTGCCAAGCAGGGTAGAATTGCTTATTCCCCACCAGGGTCCATCCTCCCTTCCTGCTGGGGGTCTCCTGGCTGCAGGGCCCTGAGAGAAGGTACAGGAGGAAAAGGAGGGACAGTGGTATCATGACAGAACAACAGGATGCTAATCTGGGCTCCACTGACCAGTAACTCTATGGCCTTTGGTAAGTCACTTGACCTCACTGGGCTCATGTTCCTCATCTGTAGAATGAGGGTAACTTCAGAGTTTCCTTATAGCTAATCAGTTGCTTCTTCCGAGAAGACCTGCAGCTCTATACCAGCTTCTTCCCATCCCATTGGACCTGGAAGCCTACAGATCCTGCTCCTCTAACCTCACTCTCCTATCCCTGCCCAAGAGCATCCTCACCCCTTACCTTAGAGTTGGCCTTTCCCACAGGCAATCCATTCGTGTAAGAGTGAAGTCCTAGGCCCCCGTCCTCTGTCTTCCAGGTTATATGCTGGTTATATACCCCCTGTCCTCAGGACAAAGATGGAGAGAGAGAGTGAGAAAGAGAAGGGACCAACAGGAGATCCTCCTGACTCCCTCCGCCCTCAGCCACAGGCCCGGAAGGCACATTTCCCCAGAAGCTGGAGCCAGCTGAATTTCAGCTGGGTGGCCCCAGGGACACCCCAGGAGCCTCCACCTCCCGCCCCCTGCCCTAAGGCCCCAGCAGTGTGTCTGCAAGTCTCTGAGAGAGCACTAGCTCCCCAGACACAGGCTGGCTGGCAGCCAGGGGTGGTGTTCTGGCTCCTGCACCAGCCAGGAGGGTGGCAGGAAGCCCCTGTTAATCCCCTTGGAGAGAGCTCCTTGGCAGACAGAGAGGAGGGGCTGCCTGTGCTCTGTTCCTACTTCAGGGCCACAGGACATTGTCCTCTAAAGTCTTTCATTGGCAGGGTTTATGCCTCAGTGTTCTGCCCACACCCCTTGGATGCTTGGGCTAGGATCCCATCCAGGCCTACTCAATAGGGAAGGGAGCCTGGACTCTTCCTTTTCAGGTTAAGGCTCTTCTGTGACCCGTAACTTACCCCTGTTCCTCTAAAAACCCTGAAGAGTTATGAAGAAACAGGGTAGGTGGCACTTTGCCCCCTTGGGGCTCCAGCCTTCCCTAGCTCCCGTTTGCCTTTGGACTTTCCTGACAATGTTTGGAGAGGCCACCAGGATTGCCAGGCTCAGGGCTGCTAATTCCTTCTCCTCCTCCTTATGCCGTGACCCCACCACGCACCTCTGGCCCCAACACACACAAATGCACAGAGTCAGCCTTCTGCCACTGAGGCTGCCTGTTCCATTGGTGCCACATAGAAGCAGATGAAGAGCTGGAAAAATCATCCCAGGGCCAAAGAGAATCAGTGTGGAAAAAGCAAGGGAGACAGTGAAACCAGATACAGAAAAGGCAGCCAGCTGGGGAGGTGGTGTCTGCCCCGCAGACCTCCTGCTGTCTTCCCAGGGAACCAGCGGCTGGGGGGATGGCCAAGCCCCAGGCCCAGGCTTGGCCTTCCTTTCTCCCTGCTTGCTCAGCTGGCATGCCACCTGCAAGGGTCTGCCAGGCCCCTGATCCTCCAGTGGTCCTGTTCTAGTCCCAGATCTAGGACACAGGATTCCTGCCCCTAAGCCAATCCCTCCCCATGCGTGGCTCTTACTGGGTGAGCAAAGCACCAGGGGTCAGGCTGTTCTTGCTTCCCCTTACCTGTTTCTGCCCTACCTCTACCTACACCCCTTCCAGCCTGGTACCAAAGTAAGACTTTGAACTGGGGATGTGAGTGGGGTGGGTTTCACCCTTTCTAGCATCAAAGAGGAAGTAAATATGTCTCAGTCTGAGAGATCTCTATATTCCCAAGGGAGCTGGTGCCATCCACCTCATTTAGGCCTCAAGGGTCATTTAAGGACTCCTTCTAGGCTGGCTCAGTGCTCTCCATGCAGGAGGGGCTGGCATTATGGTTGCTGAGGAGAGTCTGGAGGAAGGGTCAGCAGATAGAACTATCCCCTTGATCCTCCCAGGCTACAACTTGGTCCTAGCATTCCCAAGAGGAATGCCCCAAACCAAGCGAGGTCCACTGTGTCCAGGTGGACCACTCCCAAACCCATTTCTACCACGGATCATTTCCCAGAAACTTTCCAAGATGGGAAATCACAACTGAAGCTGGTTGTTTAGATCGGAAAATCTGGGTGTAATGTTGTTCAAGAAACCAGAAAGTCTCCTCACATGAACCTTGGCCTGCAACCTCTCCCTGCTCCCCTGGCCTGTCCACTCCTCTCTGCCTGAGTCACGACAGCAATCAACAACTGGAACACAGAGCTTTACGATGTGCCAAGCACTCCCACGTGCATGATGACATTTGCTCCTCCTAACGGCCCTGTGAGATAAGTTGTTGTTAGCTCCACCCAACAGAGGCTAGCGCTGAGGCCCAAGGAAGTCGCGGGGCCTGCCTGAGACTGTGCAAGCCATAGGCGGCAGGACCTGACTTGAAATCTTGGGTTCTTTCCATGGAGTCCTTTCTGCCAGCAACCCAGAGATGCGCAGGGGGAGTCGGAGCCCTCCAGATGGTTGGAGGGCGAGGAGGGACTGACTTGACTGGCTTCCTGCAGGGCCTTATGTGGTGGCCTCAGCCCTCCCAGTTCCTCAGGAGCAGAGGGGGCTGGTGAGGGGCTTTCTGAGAGGCATGTCTCTCTTCTGCGACTTGCCCTGCCCCCTTCCACTCCCAGATCTTCCTGCATGTCTATCAGGCCAAAGCTTGTCCTTTCTTCTCTCTCACAGTCACCTGCCCCAAAGAATCCCTGCTCCCCTCTGCTTCTCCCCTTCTCCCCCCAGATGTTCCTGCCCTTGCTTTGGGAGTGAGGGCGGTGGTCACCCAGGGGAGGAGCCAGCATCCTCAGGGCCCTTGGCATGGACGCTGCTGCCTCATGTAACCTTGTTTTAGCTTTGGCTTCACTATGGAAACTGAACTCCATTGGGGTGCTCTTTGGGCTCTTAAAGAACCCCCAGTGCCTTCCCCCTGCCCTCAGACTTACTATGTGACTTTGAACAGAAATTCAGACTCTTCCGGCCCTTTGTGCTCTGGGGCAGAATGGTATGGGAGCCCAAACCTAGACTCAGGAAGGCAGAAGTGAGGTGAGAGGCAGAATGGACCCCTTTTCCTGAGCGATAATCTGCCTGAGGCCCATCCGTTTCCCGAGGGCTGCTGTTCCTTTCACCCGGTGACCTGGGAACCCCCAGCCCAGGCCTCTCAGGGAAGGTGATTGTGCAGAAGCCAAGTTTATCCCAAGCAATGCAGTGAGTACGTTGGAGGGCGTGGGGTGGGGAGGAAGTTTTATCCAAAACACATGTTATTGCCACTATTCTAGTTATCTTGGATATTTCCTGCATGTTTGTCACCATGGCAACTGACTCAGCACGAAACCTTGTTTGCTGGGCCCTGGGGTCCGGCACAGAGGCCATGTGGTGCCAATTTGGGCGTCTTGGTGCTTGCTCTGTCTCCCCCAGCTCATGTCTCTCTGTCTTTTTGTCTTTGTCTCTGTCTCTCCCTGGCCTGTCTCTGTGCCTCTCCACTTTCTTCTTCCAGGAAGCAGCTGCTCCTGCATCCCTGGGTGACATAGGCGGAGACAGGGCCCTGCTCTGCCCACCCAAGCCTCCCTCAGCGTCTCCCAAAGTCCTTGACTCGGGATGCCCCAGCATGGACGAGAAGGCCACATTGCGTGGGACGCGCAGGAGGGCAGCCTTCGCTGGAAGAGGGCTCGCCACGCTCCGGGCTGTTGGTTGAAATAGATCTGTGCTACTACCTGCTGACAGCCCCCTGGGAAGGATGGGCTTGGGTTCTGGGAGACACGTAGGCTTTGGATCCGACTCTCTCTGTGTGTGGGAGTGTGGGTGGTGTCTTCCTCGCAGAGCCCTTGCTCCATAGGCTTTTGGAGGAGAGATAGGTGTGGAATGGCAGAGAAGGGGAAGGAGCTAAAACTCACTTAAGCAAAGAAAAGACGAGGAGTCCCCCAAAAGGGAGAGGCTTGGCAGCTGAAGGGCAGTGAGGTTTCTGGGCACTCTGGTCTCCCCAAGGGTCTCACCATTCCTAGTCCTTTCTCCCAGGGCTGTGGGGTGCATCAGAGCCACCGCAGACAGCAGTGTCCCTCCATGGGGGCACCAGGCAACAGGGAGGGTGTTGACAACAACAGTGTGCAAGGAGCTGGGCCAGCAGTCTGGAAAAGGCAATGTGAGCAGACAGAATGTAAACAGGCAGCAACATGGGAGGTGGGGGCGTCTCCTGTCCCCCTCCCCACCTCCCAGGCCTTGCCTTCTTTCATGCTCTGGAAGCCAAGCCTGGCCAGCTCTTGCCAGCTCCCCTCTACCAAGTTTCCTGCATCCACATCCTTTCAGAAAGGCCTTTCCACACCACCTTCCCAGCCTGCACATTTGTCCGCAGCTGCTGCTTATCATGCCTGATCCCCACTCTCTGAGCAAGGTAGGCCTGGAAGTTGTAAAGAGCCCAGGTCTCCAGGCAGGGCTGGGACCACCTGTGGGACTGCTGGGAGGAAAGGGGAAGAACAGAGAAGCAGGCTTGTACCTGGTGGCAGAGTCAGACACTGCCCTCCTCATAACTCCTGCGGGGTCATAACTTGTCAGCCCCTAGGTGTGATGGGGCCTGGACCAAGAAGGGAGAGGCTGGACTGGGCAGCCCCTGGGCCTGGCCCTGAGAGCAGAATCCTATTGCCGCATGGCCAGCATCTACAAGGGCACAGAAAGTCACTGTTCTTTTGGGCTGGTGTCATTCCAACAGGACCAAGCCTATGGATGAGTCAGGGCAGCAGGAAAACAGAAAAGGCTGCAGCAGCGTGCCTCTGGGGCTCAGCCAATGGGATGCAGGGGCCCTGGGGCTTTGGGGGCCACAGGGGCCAGGGGCCGGTCCCAGGGGGAGGGACTGCCAAGAATTAGGTGGTATGTCGGGGCTCCAGTCATATTGGAAGGGATTCAGAATGGGTGAGCTCCAGTCCCAGTGGGGAACTGCAAGGCCAAGTGGGAACCAGGCAGGACGAAGTGGGCAGAGGCTTGAGGAGACAGTGGGTCGGCAGGCCTAAGCGTGACCATTGTGGTGGGCAGAGCAGGAGTCATGGAGCCAGATCGACATGGCTCGAGGTCCAGCTCCACCACTTAGCCTCAAGCAAGTTGGAGAACTCTCTCAACCTCACTTTCCCATCTGTAAAATGGAGAAAATACCCATCTTGCAGGTTCTTGTAAGGAATAACTAAGATGTTCTGTGGTAAGTTCCCAGAACCGTGCCTAAGATCACAAGGAAGGTGCTTGACATCATTCTCCCTTCCCTGGAAAGGGGGATCATTCCATATACTTCCTCTAAGACTAATAGGCTTCTAGGCTTTTCTGTTTTTTTTTTTTTTTTTTAGGTTTTTCTGTTTTTTGAGGTTTTTTTATTTTCCTGCTTTTTTCTCCCCAAATCCCCCCAGTATATAGTTGTATATTTTAGTTGTGGGTCCTTTGAGGTTTTTAAAAGATTTTTGTTTGTTTTTTATTTTTATTTTGGTGAGGAAGATTGGCCCTGAGCTAACATCTGTGTCAATCTTCCTCTGCTTTGTATGGGGGACGCTGCCACAGCATGGCTTGATCAGCAGTGTGTGGGTCGGTGCCTGGATCCAAACTCATGAACTCCAGGCCCCTGAAGTGGAGCAGACAATCTTAACCATTGCGCCATCAGGCTGGCCCAATAGGCCTCTTGTGTTTGTCAGGATTGGTCCAAAACCTGTCTGGGACTATGGTGGGAGGTTTGGTGCTGATAGCTGAGAGGAGACCATGACTGAGCCTTGAGAGCAGGGGTGATAGGTGGGATGGCTGGCCCCCACCTGGGAGCACAGAGGGCAGTGGGAGTAGTCTGGGAGGGTTCCTACCAGAGTGTCAGAAACCAAGTCACAGTGTTCAAATTGACCCCCCTCCTCATGGGGCTGTGCCAGCCTGATAAGCAGGGCTCCTGGGGCTGACAAGTGCAGGGGAGTTCCCGCTCCCAAAGCTAGGGAAGATACTAAAGTCCAGGTGGACAGACAACCTGAGGCCACTGGCCTAGAGAAGAGAGTCCAGAGATCAAGGGAGCTAGCGTGTGGTGGGGGTGGACACGTGACGCAGGCAACATGGGACAGGTAGCTGAGACTGGCAGAGAGAGTTCTGGGCAAGCACCGGCAGGCCTTATTCTGGGAGTCTGGCCTGTCCTACTTGTGCCTCCAGCGCTGGGTGGGGGCCTCCAATGTGCCAGGCTGGACAGACACACGTGGTCCTTCCCGCCTCAGGGACATTCCCTCTTTCAGTGCTGAGGGTCCAGCCAGCATCTCCAGCTCAACCCAAAGTCCACAGCTGTAGACTTTCGTCCTCATGCTGCTCTGTCATGTTTTCCTGATGGACTAGTGACACAGGGTAAGAGAGAAGTGAGCTGCGAAGGGGAGGGAACAGGGGCTCCTGGAGAAGGGGCAGGCCTGGGAGACAGCACAGAAGACACAAGAAGGGCGGTGAGGTGAGAGGCCACTGCAGAGGGCTCCAGAGCCAGGGAGACAGGGTTCCAGCTCACCCTGCAGGGGTGCATCAGGGATTCAGGTCCGAGGGAGGGGCTTTCCACTCCTCCCTGTCCTCTTAGTCCTCCCCACGGAGACCACAACTCAAGACCCACTGTCCCCTCCCAGTGACTCAGGCTTTGGCTGCCCTCCTGCCCACGCCCAAGGCTGGGTCCAGTGCCCCATAACAGGAAGGGCTGTGGTGTGGTTGTGCGGGTGGGGGTGCTCCCAGCCTCCCCTCTGCTGCGGGCTTCACTGTGCAATGTCTAGGCAGAGAAGTCTTTTGCATCTTCCAGCTGTGTCACCCTGTGCCACCTCAGGAATGTGGGTTTGGGCTGTGGTGGATCTGTCCTCCTCCCTGTGCAGTGAGCGCAGCAAGCCACTTGTTTCTCATTAACAAACTGCAGGACGTCACACCACCGTGGGGTGGGTGTGCATTTTTGTCCTATTGGCTGGAGCAGTGGGTAGATAATGTTGGAAGGTGGAGGCCACAGGAAACCACGCTCCCTGCTGGAGCCCAAGGGCAGCCACGCAAGGGTACAGGAAAAGGGAAAGGAGGAACTGATGACGCGTGATTAGAGTTATTGTCATTATTACATCATAATCACTGAGGAGTCGGGTTTATAGTTATTGGTCATAATTGTTGTTAATAATAATAACTAGCATTCACTTATTGAGGGCCAGCCTGTGCTACGTGGTTCATGTATATTATTTCTTCAATTCTCACAATAACTCTATTTTACAGATGAGGAAACTGAGGCACAGACAGAATAAGTGAATTACCTAGTTTTCACAGCAAAAAAGCATTCGAGCTGGGATTTGTGCCCAGGCTATTGGACATCTGATGTCTTTTCTGTTCTGCCACATTGCTTCTACCAGGTGTTAACTTTCTGGTGCCATGGACACAGTCTGGTAAAGCCTGTGGGCCCCTTCTCAGAATAATGTTTTTTAAGAAATACATTAGTTTACAAAGCAAATCAATTATATTGAAATACAGTTGTCAAAACATTAAGAATGTATGATTGAGTAATATATGTGCTTCTTTATTAACACATTAAATAACAAGATCTAATAACTATCATAATTTCAAAATAGCAATGAATACAAACAATAGTTGGTGATATCAGCAAAACTGTTTTGTGATTTCTGTTGGTGACAAAGTCACTGGAACTGATAACACCTATATTCCTAGCTGAAGCGTCCTTCAACTTTAGGTTTCAGTTAGAGGGCAGTGAAAGTAAAGGTGTGATTAATTTCCCCTGGAAGTGCCCAGACCCCATAATTCTCTGTGGTGCCTCTGGGGACTGAACTGAGGGTCAGATCCTCTGCCATGAAAGGCGGTTGTAATGACCTGTGTGCTGGGTGTCAGGCCGGCTGGCTGGAAACCTTCTCTTTTTGCTGCGGTGGTTGGGGGTGTGTGGACCCCTCCCCGGCTGGGGAACTCTGTGCCACCTGGGGAAACCTCTAGTGGCTCCTTGGCCCAGCTCTAACTGGTCTGTCCTTGTGACCTTCCTGGGGTTTAGGGTTTCTGGGTTTAGCAAATAAAAATGCAGAAGGCCCAGTTCGATCTGGTTTACAGATGAACAATGAATAATTTTTTAGTAGAATTATGTCCCATGGGATATTTGGGACATACTTGTATTATTTTTCTGTTGCTATGTGACGTGACCACAGAGGTAGCGACTGAAACCACGCAAACGCGTTGGCTCACGGCTCTGCAGTGGGAACTCGGGCGCGGCTCATCTGGGTCCTCTGCGCAGGGTCTCACGGGCTGAGCCCGAGGTTCCGTGCCAGGTTCCTTTTGGAGACTTGGGGATGAATCTGCCTCCCGGCTCCAGCAGGTCGTTGGCGAAATTCAGTTCCTTGTGGTTATAGGACTGAAGTCCTTGTGTCCTTGCTGGCTGTCAGCCGGGGGGTGCTCTCAGCTCCTAGAGGCTGTCCACATTCCTTGTCACGTGTCCCTGCCATCTTCAAGCCAGTTCACAATCATGGAACCCTTCTCATGCTTTGAGTCTCCCACTTCCCTGCCGCCACCAGCGGGAGAAAACTCTGCTTTTAAAGGGCTCATGATTATATTAGGCCCATCCAGATAAATTCTCTCCTGCCACACAGCCTAGCTTAATCTCAGGAGTAACGCCAAGAGACGAAAGTCATGAGGGCATCTTCGAGTTCTGCCTCCCACACTTATACTAAGTGTTTATTTGTTGTTTCTCTGAAGTGGCCACTACCTGGGAGCCCTGTGCACTCCTGGCAGCCCTAGTGGGGTCAGACCCGCTGTGGACTTCACCTCATGACCAGGGGCCACTCTCTCCTCTTCTCGACCTCGGTTTCCCCTCAGAGAACACAACGTTATTCTTTAAAATCCGCGTGCATGGATTGGGCTCCAGCCACCATGGGGCACAGCAGGCACAAGAGCCTTTCTCTGCCTTGCAGGGTCTCAAGGGTAAAGGTGGAGACTGATGTATTCATAAGTTGAGGCTGGCTGAGAAAAGGGCCACCGTGGCAGTGGTGGGGGGAGACGTTATCAACAATCCATGGGGAACAGGAGAGGGAGAGACTGTTGCTGGTAGGGTGGGGAGGGGCTGAGGGGAGGATGGGAAAGCTCAGGAGAGAGGTGTGGTTTGAGCAGGACTTTGAGGACTTGGCCAGGCAAGAATCAGGAGGACGTTTTGGGCAGAGGGGACAACACAAGCAAAGCCTGGTGGGGCAGGGTCCTGGTGCACGGGGGTGGCAAGTGCAGCTAGAGGATAGGGCACCTGGTGTTTGGGGGTCAGGGAGAAAGGGAGGGGGACATAGTACAAGAGAGAGGCAGGGGTCAGACTGGAGGCCCTGAAAGTCCCATTAGCAGGGCTGGGAGAGGGTCTGTGAGCTCACAGTGCTGCGTCGGGAACTGAGCTGCTTTGGAAATGATGCAGCTCCCTCGGCTCTGACAGCATGTGAAGCTGCGTCAGGATAGTTGGGAGGCATCTTCACATTGAGGACAGAGCGCCGGCGGAGAGCAAGGAGTCCTGGGGGCTGGCTTTGCAGTTGCTCACGGAGGGACTCTGGGCCGTGCTTGGGACGTTGAGGGACAGCAAGGAGCCAGTGCAATTTGAGCAGAGTAGGTGAGGGGTGTGTCTGTGCATAGCAGATCATACAGGGCCTTGGAGGCCATCGAAAAGACTTTGGCTTGTGTCCTGAAGGAACAGGGAAGACAACAGAAGCTTCTGAGCACTAAGTACTAAATGATAACCAGCGCTGCCCTCTGGGGTAGGGTTTGTGCCCAGGCTGCCAGGCAGTGCATGGGACACAGGGGCAGGGGCACTACATTATAAGGTCTCTGTCCACAAAGAGCTTGCACTCTCCTGGGGAGACAAGACTAGGAGTGGCGGTGAGAGCCAGGGCCTTAAGGCAGAAGAATCTGGCTTTGTCTTCCCACTACCACTGCCCAGCCTGCAAAGATGCCTGAGGGCTCAGTTACTCAACAGTAACATGGTACTCACCATACCTGCCCAGTGGGCTTTGTGTGGGCGTGTGAGGAAGATTGTCGCTGAACCAATGTCTATGCCAGTCTTCCTCTATAGTATTTGGGATGCCGCCACAGAATGGCTTGACGAGCATGCTAGGTCCGACACTGGGATCCAAACCTGCAGACCCAAGGCCGCTGAAGCAGAGTGCACGAACGTCACCAGCACGCCACTGGGCCAGCCCTGTGATGGGGTTCTTGTGAAGTCTGGCTCACAGTGAAGTGTCTGGCACAGAAAAAAATAGTAGCTAGTGCCATTATTTAAGGAACAGTACGAGGTAGCGTTAAACTCCTCATCAAGGGGTACAGATGATGGCGGCTGATGGCATCAGAGGCTGTGGACCTCCTCGAGGCAGGGGAGAGAGCTGGCCTGCAGAGGCGGCAGGAG